ATTCCCCACTGCCCAGAGGAAACCTACAGCCACCTGAGTGGCGACAGCACCTCACCGAACCCATCTAAAGCCTGCTGATATCAGCCATTTCCTCAGTTAGTTCTTTGTGGGTGAGATGCTGATTAACCAGAGGAAGCAATGAGGCTTATTTGTATTTGCAGTGAGGTGCAGAAGCCGAGGAGTGCGGATGGCCCAGGGGTTTGGATGCTCACTTGACCCTGGAAAGACATGGCTTGGGGTCTGTGCTCTGCCATAGATTTATGGCATGACCCTGGGCAAGTCACTTGGGCCCAGAGCCTGAAACAGCACGTGAGCACCTACAGCTCCTGTAAGTAGCACTGCAGGGCCTACTCCCAGGTACAGAGTAGGACCAGAGCTTGGGTGAGCATCTGCCCTAAGTGGGCAGAGATGCTGGTTGCAGGCCCTTTATATGACTCCAGGTCCGTCCCTCTTAACCCGTGAGCCTGGGAGTGCTTTGGGGGCAGAGACCACCTTGCACTGCTCTTAGCTGCACTGCCTTTGCGCAATGCCAAAAGTGTTGTTGTGGTGGACACCAGCCTCCGTGCTCCTCTTCCACGTGGGGCGAAGATCAGAAACAAAGTGAAGTAGCCTCCACTCCAGAAGTACAGCAGTCAGCCCACCTGAGACAGCCTAAAAGCAATGCAGAAGCCTATGCTCCAGGCTGGTCTAAGGCAGCTGCATGATTTCCTCTCTGGGATTCGGGGACATGCTGAGGAGGGAGTAGCGGGGATGCTTCCCCACTGCTCCCTGCCTGGCACTAAGGCAGTGCTTGCAAATCCCCCAGCTCTACTGGGTCCTGATTTCTGTGCCAGAAGCAGTAAGAGAGCATTATATATTCTGTTATCTCCATGCAGTCCCCCTCAAGCACTCGCATTTGATGGCAAGCAATGGGATAGGAAAGGGTCAGCTGTTTCTACTGAAGGCTGGTGTTTGCCTTTAATAAAACAATATTCTGGCCTGTCCTTGCCATAAATCTGAAACAAGCCAAAATATATTTTATCATAGGGCATCTCAGGCTTGAGACAGCCCCCCCCCCAGCCTGCTATCATCCCTCTCCAGTGGTTCCCAGATGGCTACTGTGGCCCTTAATCCGAGTTAATCAGCACGGGTCCATCTCTCAGATGGGGCCCTAATCACGGCACACACGATGCTCTTTTGAGTGCCATGCTATCGGCTCGCACCAGCTGGAGGCCTGCTCGCACACAGAGACACAAAAAGCAACTTCTCAAGGGCTTGGAGCTTGTCGGATCCCTGCACCGGGGATTAACAACTTCTGAGCTCTGTGCTATAAAAATGATACATGTGCAAATAAGCTGACTTCATCAGTGGCACCATGAGAGTGTGTGTGTGTGTGTGAGCGTGCGCGCGCGCACGCACGTGCAATGAATTACTTAGGAAGCCAGCCTGGCGATGATAAAGGACAGGCAATTAGTGTGTTTCATATATGATTAGATAAAGCACTAAGACATACACCCCCGGGGAGGGGGGGGATCATGAAAGCAACAAGCCTGAATGAGGGGCAGAGGGTAAGATTCAAAGGGAAGAGACTGGAGAAGAGAAGGAGAGGAAGAGTGGGCTACCAAACGTCAGTCCAAATCATTTACTCCAGGTGAATTCACACGGGGTTTTGTAGAGAAGGACACATGATGACACAAAGCGATGTGTTTGGAGGCCTGCAAGATGATGACTCCATTCGCATGCAGCTGGTTATCAGCGAGGGCCGGTCGCTAAAGCATCTACACGCCACAGGGCTCGAATGCAAGCTTGACTGGCCTGAAATGGAAGAAAATTGTACTCGACCTGCTGCAGAATCAAGAGAGCCAGGCATACTAATTATTACACTTTCTCCGAAGCATTTACCAACACGTTGCAGGTGGAGGTGACTCAGTAGTTGATGGGTGGGCAGCACCAGTGCATTATGGGCACAAGCACTGGTCAGACCAGCCAGACAAGCTCACTATGGCTGTGAGTTCAGTCTGCCCCCCAGCCATCTCTGCTTCCCCTCTATATTCTTCCAGGCCTGGGTTTTTATGCCCTGTAAAGGTCTTTCCCATCTGGTTTAACCCTCTTCCCTCAGGGCCAAGGCAGATGGTTGAACTGAACAGGGCAAGAAGTAAAAATTTAGAAGGGCAATGGAGGTGCCCAATAGGCCTGTGCGAGTCAGCAGCTATTTGATCCAGCCGTTTCAGATGGCCGCCATGTGATCTGAAGTGCTGGACCGGGTTCCCACTTTGATCCAGCCAAAGCGGCTCCGATCCAGTCAAAGCAGCTCCGAAGCTTTGGAGCTGCCTCGGAGATCTGCCATAGGGTATAATGGGGAATCAATGAAATATCTATAATTTTGTTGGTTTTTTTGTCCGATTTGGATGAAATTTGCAGAATTGGTATCCTATGCTCAGCCCATGAAGCCTGCCAAGTTTCAAAGGATCGGTGCAGGGGTTTAGGGTGAACCACACCCCAAATTCTTGAAGGCAAAACTCATGTCACATGTATGCGTTACACCACAGGGCAGGTGAAAACTGCAGGGATGATAGCCCCTGGGGAGGCCACAAAGCCTGCCAAGTTTCAAGGAGATAAGTGCAGGGGTTTGGGTGGAACTGCGCCTCAAGCTGCAGACAAGCACAACTTGTGCCATGGGTGACCCTGCGTGTGCTAAAGGTGCAGCGGGGTGACAGCTGCAGGGAAGGTGGCCCCTGCTGTGACGCCTGCCGGCTGTGGAGGAGATTGGTGCAGGGAGGTTCTGGAGCCCTGCCCGCCTAGCTGCTGACAGGCAAAACTTGTGCCATGGGCGCTTGTGCAGCTGACTGTGTCTGTCTTGGGGCAGTTGATTATCTGTGTTGATTATTTCCTCTCCTTAGCAAGGGGTTTTGTAGGTGTTAATTGTTGCTAATTAACTGGCTACATTAGCTGTGTATTGAGCTGGTTCCTGAGTGAATCACAATCCATTGCTAACTGGTAACACAGCAGCTTAGCAGCCAGGCCTTCAGTAGTCCCCCCCAAGACAGACACAGTTGCACAAGCACCCATGTCACGAGTTTTGCCTGCCAGCAGCTAGGGGTGCAGGCCCCAGAACCCAGAAGCCCTGCACCCATCTCCTCAACAGCTGGCAGGATTCATGGCCACAGCAGGGGCCACCACCCCCGCAGCTGTCACCCAGCTGCGCCTTAATACACGCAGTGTCACCCATGGCATGAGTTTTGCTTGTCTGCAGCTTGAGGTGCAGTTCCCCCCAAACCCCTGCACCGATCTTCTTGAAACTTGGCAGGCTTTGTGGCCTCATCAGGGGCTACCATCCCTGCAAATTTAATCAAAATCAAACAAAAACCAACAAAGTTATAGATATCTCATTGATTCCCCATTATACCCTATGGCCGGATCCAAAGCATGGTCTGAAGCCTTGCACAGCCCTAGTGCCCAATGGGAGGTTATGTGAAACAATTGCCCCCTTCTCTGCATATCTCGAATTAACCCCTCACACGCCTACACTGAGCAATATACCATATTTTCCTGTGTACAGCACACCCCAGAATAAGATAGGCACCTTGTTTTTGAAAGGCAGAAGGAAGAAGAAATGAGATCTTTCCTTGCCTTAATTAACAGAATAGCAACAGCAGCGAGGGAGCTGAGCCTGCGTGTTATTCTGTGCCCTGTGGTTGCATGCAGACTTCACTTTTGCTTCCAAAAGGCAGAACCCTGAGCATCAGAAACTGCTGTGATGCATTTATTTCTTGATTTTGAATGTGCACCCCAATTTCCAGCAGCTTTTTTTTTGGGAAAAAGAGGTACATGTTGTAGGTAAGAAGATATGGTAATTACAACCAAATGGCCGCTTAAGGTCCGTGGGCCGCCAGTTTGACAGCCCTGATTCATTTCACAAGGGGTTAAAGTGATTGCAAACATTTATTTCTAAAAAAGATTATTAAAAACCCAGCATTTAGCATACAGGCAAGTGTCATTGTATCACATAGATGAACATCAGGACCAAGAACAAGAGGGCGACGTGAGCATCTGCAGCTCAGGTTCCACATCGACAACCACACAACACACATAACACCGGCCATACGTGACACATGGGGCTCCTTCCCTCAGTATAAATGATGCTCATTCTACCTTTCTGTGCATTCATTTCCACTGAACCAAAGCGGAAAGGACAATGAGGAACTTGGAAAAGGCAATGGGGAAAGAGCAAGAATCAAATAGCAGAGCTGACCTGAAGGTGGTGGTAATGTTTTGCGGTCATTTTAGGTACATTCAAAGCTTGGTTTCGTTCCACTAAGAGGTGGGGAGGAAGAGGATGTGAAACCAAAAGCTTTTCAATGTTTGTTTTGTTTTTTTTAATGAGAGCACATACAAATCATGGGCTTCGTCACCTGGATGGTAGAGCACCGGCCTGGAGTGCAGAAGTCCCAGATCCACAAACTTGTCCTACTTCTCTCAGTAACATGTCACTACACTGGCAATCAAGCCACAAAAAAAGGCATTTGGGAAGAGGCAGCAATCCCCCAGCTCTACCAGGTCCTGAATTCTGCACCATATATTTTTATGGGGTGGGAGAGCAGAAATAAGTCTACTGTATGTACAGAGCACATAGCCTGGCATAGATTGGGAGTGCCTGAAGGTTTGGCCAGAGTTAGAACAGAAGATTCAAGTTTTTTAACAGTTGACCTTGTGAGGGATCCTGCTGAAAACTTTGCTTTCCAAAGCCAGGCTCATATCCCCAGGGTTAATGGGACATGCTCACCATGTGTGTGAGGAGGCTGCTATCTTGGCCAGCAGCTTGGATGAGATGAGGAATGGTTACAGTGGGTAATAAGCTGAATATGAGCCAACAGTGTGCCCTTGTTGCCAGGAAGACTAACTGCATACAGGGCTGCATTGGTAGGAGGGGAACAGGTTACCTAGGGAGGTTGGGGACTCTCCATCCTTGGAGTTTTTAATACCCAGCTAGACAAAGTCTTGGCTGGGATGATCTAGTCGGCGATGGTCCTGTTCTGAGCAGGGGGTTGGACTAGATGTGACCTCAGGAGGTCCCTTCACACCTTCATTTTCTATGACCCTATGAATGTCCCAGTGCTAAACCCATGCCTCTTTCCAATTTGAATTAAAAGATCCAGGTTCTGTACTGGGGTCATGGGAGATTCACATCTTCTATGAGCTGTGCACAGAGCAGGGACACGCAGCACATACCAACCGGTGGGTTACACATGCACGCATCTGCAAAATGGAGCCCTTCTCTCTGCGTCCCAATGGGAACCTGGGGTCTATAGTGAATCTCTGCTCATCTTCCAGACGGAGGTCATCTGCTGATGCGCTGGAGGAGGGTGACACAGCCGTGGTAACTGGTGCAGCGCTGCAGCGGGGGTTGCTGCTCCACTTGCCCCGTGGCTGGGTCAAAGGTGAAGGCCTTGTCGGTGCCCTCCCCATTTTCATCCCGGCCTCCCAGGATGTAGATCTTGCCACCGCAAACCGTCACACCGCAGCTCTCCTAGGGAGGGGACAGACAGCTCAGAGGTAAAGGTGTCGCCCCCAGTTTTGCACAGCAGGGCTCCAAACCCAAGGCTGAACAAAAGAGTGAGCGTGGGTTCGTTCTCATCAGACTCGCTTCAGACCCATCCAGCTGGGAAATGACATGTGGAAAGGGCAGGGAAGGAAGGACAAGCAAACAGCAAGGGACCTGGTGGCCTGGCTTGAGAGGCCTTGGGAGCCCCTCGAGCTTGGATGGATTGATTCTGGGTAACATTTTATTGACAGCCACAGACCAGCCATGAACGATGCTGCCTCAGCCAGGTGAGGTTATCACTGCCGCTCCACACCATTTCTCAGACTAGCCAATGCTCGCAGCGACAAAGACAAGTGCTAAGCAAGCAATCCCACCACATGTAGGTGTCTGAATAGAGATGGTGTCCTAGGGAAGTGGTGAGACTACTTCATGTATAGAGCAAGGAGCACATGCCAAGGGCATAGCAAGAGCACGGCATGGCATGGCCAGCCATCACCCTGCTGTGAAAATCAGTCCTGTAAGAGGCCAGGGATACACAGCTGGGAGAGGCGGATAGGATTTTTTTTCCCTTGGCTTCCCCTGCCTCAAAAGCATGCCGTTTTTGCTTTTAAATGCCCCACTTCAATGTGAGATTTGCAAAAAATGCAAAGCTGGGGGGGAGGGAGGGTTCCCTTTTAAATGAAATATTTCTCGATTCCTATCTTTAAAAAGTCTGAAAATGCTTTGGGTTTGGCTTTCATTTGTTTTTTTCACAATAGATAAATGAATAAAATGCCGCTATCTAAAGTTTTTTTGTAACCAACAGACGTTCTCCCCTCCTCCACCAGTGGAGAGAAAAAAAAATGACCAAATTAAAACTATATATTCATTTGGGATGAGACAGTATCTGTAACAAAAAACCCTACCCTTCAATTAGCTGTGATGCAGAGCAGTCTGGCTCTGGTATTGGACATGTAGCGTATGGCTGGGCCTGTCTGCTGGAGATCTCAGCTGCTCCGTTGAGGGAATGAGCCCTATCCACCCGCTTCATCCCTAGAAATGAAGGTGTGAGGATGCCCTAAGAGGGCTCCAGATTGCTGACTTCTTGGAGGTTTTTAAGAAGTACCAGAAGCCCAGGCCTTGACTATGGTGCCGAGGGCACAACCGTCTCATTTCCAAGGTCAATGAGTGCAGAGATGGAAGCTGCTTATTAACTTTGTGCACGTTAACTTTAAACATGAGACTAATTCTGGTGGAGCTAGAGGGCAGTTTAACTGCTTGAAGTTCATGCCAAGCTTTTGTCACTTTGCCCATAGTTTTCGGAGACGCTTTATTGCCCACAGAGAAGATGGCAGAGAACGAGGGATGGCGGGGCCTTCTTACTGATCTGCCCTTACCAGAGGTCCCGGGAGAGCGGCCACTTCCCTCCAGGTGTCTTCCTTGGGGTCGTAGCAGAAGATTTTATTCAGGAGCCCACCCACAATGTAAATCCTGTTGTCCAAAGACACGGCATTAATACACCTCTGAGAGAAGGGGGTGGGAGACAGGAGCGTCCACTTGTTTTCTTCAGGATCGTAACACTGGACCTGGGAAGAGAAAAAAGGAAATGGTTAGTGAGATTCCCACTCCTTTGCAGCCCCTGCTCAGACAAAAGACTGGGCTAAAAACCAAGCTAGATACGCAGTAGTGTGTTGGCTCAGACGGACGGGATTACCAATCATGAAAAGAGTGGAGAGGAGGGTGAGATCAGCCCATGGAGGAGAAGACAACACGGGAAACAGGAGTCCTGGGGTCCCGTCTCGGCTCTGCCAACAACTCTTGGAAAAATCACTTAGACTTTGGTTTTATAGAACCGCGCATTCATTTTGGAGAGCTAAAGTTTTAGGGTGATGGACCAGAGAGGTCGTGCATGGCCCGATTTTCAGTTTTCCTCATGGAGAACACGACACACTTACAGATGGGTAGGTGATCGTACTATGGCTACAAAACCCCCTTGCAATGGCAGCCCCATCAAACATTACCTGGAACTGTGCTGCTCAACCAGGGTGCTGGGGCACCCTGGGGTGCCACGAGCTCTTTTGAAGGGCGCCTCAAAGATGAGCGGATATGGGCAGATAAGCAGAAATGGGAGGCTGAGATTCCTCCCTGCCTGACCACTACTCACCCCCACCGTCTGGCCCCTCTGCGAGGAGGAAAGCACTGTAATCAACCAATTGGTTTTTGAAAGGGGGTGCTGCTCAATTCACACTGGTTGTGGAGGGGCGCCTTGTGTCGAAGGAGGGAATGAGGTTTCTTTAGTGTGAAAAGGAGGTAGCTGGGCTTATTTAGCCTGGAGAAAAGAAGACTGAGAAGGGATTTAATAGCAGCCTTTAACTCCCTGAAGAGTGGTGTCAACGAGGATGGAGCTGGACTCCTCAGTGGGGCCAGACGACAGGACAAGGAGCAACGGGCTCCAGTTTCAGCAAGGGAAGTTGAGGTTGGATATTAGGAAAAACTCTCTCACTAGGAGGGGAGTAAAGCACTGGGACAGGTTACCCAGAGAGGTGGTGGACTCTCCATCCTTGGAGGTTTTTAAGACCCGGGTAGACAAAGCCATGGCTGGGATGATGTAACTGGGGCTGGTTCTGCTTTGAGCCGGGGGTTGGACTAGATGTGACCTCCTGAGACCCCTTCCACCCCTCATTGTGTATAATTCTATGATTATATGATAAATGAAGCATGCCCCAGTCTAAAAAGGCTGAGAACCACTGGCTTGGACTATAAGCTCCAAGTCCTCACACTAAGAAAGGCAGAAACGCTCTGCGCTTTGCTCTAACCCTGCGATGGCCTTCCCTTCCTCGTACCAACATACAGCTCAGGAGAACTATCCAGGCGCAGTGTTATCATTTTACCGTAGGTTCAGATCTCAGAATAAACTTCCTGAAGAAGCGCAGTTTGTCACTGCTTCGTTCTCTTGGTACAGCGACTCCCAGCATCCCAAAGAGAACGACAAAGAGCCGGGCACTGCCTAATGCACCTGAAACTGGGACCTGACCACACGTGCCCCAAGGAACCCCCTAAATGACAGGAGCAGGAAACTACTCAATGGGCAATGTAATAGCACAGCTGCGCATCATGCACTAGAGCAAGAAGCCGCCACAGGCAAACAGATGAGTCAAACCAAGCCCTTCCCAGGCACCAGAAGAGCCCTTTGGCTCTGGTCCCAGCATGCCAGCCTGGCCCCTCCTTGTGTCAAACTGTTCTTCTCACAGCCAGCTTCCTCCTACCTTGCTGACTCTTCTGGGAGTTTTTAAAGCTCTTTGGGGAACACTGCCTAGCTAAATGCTCCACAGCTGGGCTCTCTCAGCAGGGCTGGCTGTTCCCTCTCAAAGGGACAGGCCACCTGTTGCAGGAAGCCTCCAATCAGGGGTCCTGAAGCTGTGGGGCACTCCCACCAGTGTTCATCTTCTACCACCCGTCATACATTCCCCTCAGCCCAGCCAACCCCTACAACCGCAGTACCTTGTCCGAGTTCACACTGTCATCCACAGCACCCCCGAGCACATATAGCTTGTTGAGACAGGGGACGATGGCTGCCGAGCTCACTGCTTGGGGCAAAGGCGCCACGATTGACCAACGATTGGAGAAAGTATCATAGCATTCGACGCTGGAGAGGCGGTAAAAGCCATCAAACCCACCGACGGCATAGATCTGCCATGGAAAGAGGAGAGATAGTCATCAGGGGTCATGGTGCTGGGTGGGTGAGGGGGAAGGCTACGATTCCATCATATTGGTCACAGAAACCTTGATTTTGAAGGAATTCTGACTTCTATGATCCAACCTGCCAGTCAGTCATAGGGGAGAGTGCAAAGGATCGTGGGAGGTATGGATCAGCTGGGGATGCTGTCGTATAAGAAGAAGTGTGGGCATGGGTGGATCCAGGAGAGGAGTGAGGGGGTGTGCTCATGCCCCTTTCATCTGTGCAGTGCATGCCCAAGGAGCTCAGAGCTCCCAACTGCTCAGTGCGGCTTCTTCCAGAGCTCTCTCTGCAGCTCATCAGCTGGTTGGTGCAGGCTCTCACCAGAACCACTGGTTTTGCATGACTCCAGAGGCCAGGGGCTCAGCACTGCCACTATTCACCCTCTATCCTCTTCCTCATGCTAAGTTTGGGGCAGGAGAAACTGTGGACGAACAGCAGCACTCACCCCCTGAGCATCCAAGCCGCATGAAAGCAGTGGCTAGAGTAGGAACCCCATGCTGATGAGCTGGGAGCTTAGAGCTCCCCGCACATGTGACAGCCAAAGGGCAATTGCTTCTTGGTCTATTGGCTACGATCAAGCAAAATGAGGGGCATCTGAACTCCCAAGGCCTGTGGCCCTGGTATGGCAGCCTGGTAGAAAGTGCGAGCTATGTGTACTGGTAGCCATAGATAAACGTAGATATTCAGTTTAGGTATTTTGAGTGGCTGGATGTATAGCTGGCAGCAGCAGAGTCACTGCAGCCGCTCTGTCTGGCTCCACAGGGCCCCCCAAAGTGCGGGGCCTGGGGTGCTCCCCCCACCTCCCCTGGGATGGCCCTGACTGGAGCAGAAATGATTTGTGGTACTGCGCATTTCAAAGTACCTGCTACTGTCACAGGAGAAAGAATGAGGGATACAGCTTTAGTTAGCTGCTTTGGTTCATAAGGGATATGTACACACCACGTTTTTTGCCCTTTCATGCACTGCAACTGCATGTCTGTTTGCATAAGCGGGATTTCTGGATGCTTTAGAAGTCTTTCATAGGCTGCAATTCCAAGTTGCAGTGCATTGGCGGAGGGAGGAAGAATGTACCTTTCCCTGAAGAGTTGCCATTTTGTGCCTCCACCTGCCTTTCTGCAAGCAGGCGACTTTGATCCACACGTTGAGCTGGGAGCTGAGCACCCAGACATCACTGCTGTTGATGTGCCCTCCTGAAAGACAGATAGGCACAGCACAGTCAAGGGGAGTGCAACCACCACCTCCAAACTGAACAGCAGTGGGAGAGCTTAGCATACTGGTCACCACTGCCTCACACTGACCCAGCACACGACAGGTAAAGGTTGCATGTGTAGTGTAAAGAGAGATGATGGAAGAGGGGAAAAGGAGATCACAGGAGACAAAAAGGCCCAAGTTCTGACTGCTTCAGCAGGCGTAGGGCCACATGCCTACTGTCAGTGGAAATTTGGATAGTAAGCAAAATGGGCCACCCATCCATTCCTATCTGGCAATTTCTATGAAATTGTAATGGGGCCTGGGAACATCTTTTTAGTCTACCTTTTGCATCAGCAGCCTGCTTTTAGGGAACCTCATATAATCAAAAGAGCTTATGTGCTACAGTAACGGGCACAGTGAGAGCACAGAGGTACATCTACATTGTATAATGTAGACATACCGGAGCTACCTTTGAACCAGTTAGATAGGCTTAGGGCCTAATTGCAGCAAAATCAGCACAGCAAAACCTACCCCA